CTATGTTAAATGCTCACACTGGTTACTGTGTGGAGAATGGAGTGGGGGGCGGTATAAAGTGTGTGCAAGGAGACAGGAGGTGGCCGCTGTCCCAGGTAAGAGTTGCTGGCAGCCTTCATGAGAAAGGTGACTGTAGGAAATGGAGAGAAGTAGACGGATTCTAGAGGAACTTAGAAGGCTCTCCTTTCTTTGTGGGCACATAGTAGGGCTCCCTGAAGTGAATAAAAACAAGCATTTGGTCTGGAGTCTGTGTGGAAATGATAGCGCTCATGACACACTTCATTGCAGAAGAACCACATGGCGTGGGTTGCTGACTTCCAGGAGTGTTCTTACTTTGTGGACTTCAGAGCAAGAAGGCATTTCCCACTTTGTAATAGCCTAGTGGAGTCTCCAATGACCTACGAGTAACAACTGCTAATACTAATAAGCTTCATTAACCAGGGAGGCTGTGTAGGCTCTGGAGACATATAGAACCTCACGCAAGTTATTTAAACTTGCTTGGCTTCAGTTTCTTGATCTGTAAACTGGACTAATGATAGTACCTAATTTGTAGGGTGATTGTAAGAACTAGGTGAAATAACCCACATTTAGCACAGTGTCTGACACATGGTAAGTGCTCGGTAAATATTAGTTCCTATTATTATTAAAATAATGGGTGACTTCCATCTCATTAAGAGTAAAGATCAAGTAGGATTGTTTAATCATTTTAAAACATGTAAATAGCTTTCTGGAGTGCCATAGAGCTTTAAGCAACTTACATGAAGACATACAAGCTCTTCAGTGATGGAACTGGCCTTTGGTGTTGACACAGATTTGTCTAACACCAAAAGCAGTGGTTTTGACCACTATGCAGTCATCTCTACCTATCATTTTTAATTTAGGATAGATGCATGTTACAAGAGCTGGTTCGGCTGCTAGATCAGACTGTACCAGGGGTGTCCAACCTGTGGCCTGCAGGCTGTATGTGGCCCAGGATGGCTATGAATGCGGCCCAACACAAAACTATAAATCTACTTAAAACATTATGAGATTTTTTTGTGATTACATGTCACAATGTATTTAATGTGTGGTCCCAAACAACTCTTCTTCGTCCAGTGTGGCCCAGACACGCCAAAAGGTTGGCTACCCATGCTAAGCTAAAGGGAAAAGTCCATGAGGAGTGGTGACCCTTATCCAGACAGTGACTAGAAGGTGATCACCCTGTCCCACATCAATGGTAATGGCTTCAATGCCATAGTAAGCACAGTAAGCTCGATTCCTAAGGTACAGAGCCGTGAAAATCAGGAAGCCTTTCCAGTTCTCCCAAGGGCCTTTCAGAAGATTGAGATGGTACTATTACAGTGCCAAGCTTATAACATACTTTGTCACGAAATACTCAACATCACTTGAGGTAAGGGGTATTGGGGCTCTTCCTTTACAAATAGGAAACAGAGGCTTTAAAATGTTAAATATTTTGCCCATATCGAGAAAGTGATAGAGGCAGCATTTGAATACAGCTCTGGTTGTCTGCACTGGCCTCACCAAGCTGTGATGCTTGTTTCTATCCATGCTGTCCTGTCCAGCCCATCCTTACTCAAAGTACCTGAGTCCCTCTCTTTTACTCCTGAAAAGGACCTGGTGTTAGTCGTGTGCAACTATGCGTGTTGCTCACTTGATGTGTTACCTCTCCAGAGATTATTTGTATTTAGCTGCTGATGGTGTGCTGGAAATGGCTTGTACTGGCTCATGAGAGCTGACTGTTAAATCTTCAGGAATTTTGTGAGCCAGTAGATATCACATCAGCAGTTTGAAATTGGCCATGATGGGAGTATTTATATGAGAGAAAGCGGCAAACACTTTGAATTGGGCTCCGCCATACTCTACTGTCTCTACCACTCCGATGGTTGTTAAATGTTTACCAACACACCACTAGGCCCTAATTTTTCATTGTCTTCTGTTAAAAAAAAAAAAAGTCAGGCATCGGGGACCACTTAGCAAAGAAATTGGCAAGCAGAGGGAAGCGTCTGAAATCATGCCTACCAGCAAGCCACCACCTGCCCACTCTTATGCTTCTTTCTGGCCCACTGCTCGAGCAGGACCAAGGAGCCTTCTGGCCCTGCTTAAAACACTCGCACATCTTAATATAGGAAACAGACACCAGAACGAAATCCATGTTAAAAGGAAACACTCAACCAGTATTATAGTGACAATAGGCATGGATATTTAAAGTTAGAAAAAAACATATTTAGTTTGCAGAACTACAGAATTTGTCCCTGAATAGGTAGGACTGTTTTTCATAGGATGTCATAAATATAGAATTTTAGAGCTTCAAGGAACACAATTTTACAAATGAGAAAAGAGAGAGGGACGATGATTAGCCCAGCATCACACATCTCATGATGCATGTATATTTCTCCCCCACAGACTTGTATTTAGCCACAGAATCAAAGGAATTCAGAATCCTGATATTAAGCTTGACTTTAAAGAGTCCTTTATCATTTCCCTTCATTTGAAAATAAGTGTATTATTCCAACCTGTTGGCTTCTTCAGAGAGATGATGATAGCACAAATAGCTAATTTTTAATTATGCACTTACAGGTGACAGGACTTATCTAAGCACTTTATATGTTAAGTTGAACTACATGAAATTGTTAATATCAGACCTTTTTTGATCTACTAAATGGTGATTTCAAATAGTTTAATCTAAATATATTTTCTTTATTAATCTTTACCATCATTCCATGACGTGAATACTATTATCGCACCAAGTTTATAGATGGGAATAACAAAGCTTTAATTTAAAAACAAAAAGTTTTGGCTTGGCTGGGTAGCTTAGTTAGTTAGAGTATTGTCCTGATATGCCAAGGTTGCGGGTTTGATCCCTGGTCAGGGCACATACAAGAATCAACCAATGAATGCATAGAGAAGCAGAACAACAAAGTGCTGTTTCTCTCTCTCTCAAAATCAATAAATAAACATTTAAAAAATAAAATCATCAAAAACAAAAAGTTTCTTCTCACAAGGGTAAGTGCTATTCTTATTTATGGGTGATGCACAATGTAGTCGTGTGTACAGATTAATGGCCCTAAACAATGGCACACATGTAGCGCATGAATATAAGCCATAGACCCTAGAAAACAAGAACTGGGATGACCGTGCCTCATATGTCTGCTATATTTCACATAGAAATGTTAGAAACTTGAGCTCAGGGCTCCCCAGAATGAATTAATTGCCCTGGAACTTTTATGCTCAAAAGAAAAGGCAGAGTGATTTTACAGCATTGTTGTCATGCAAATTACAACCAAGACAATTTTGAATAGAGACCATCTTATGGTGTGATTATTTGCAAATAATATTTTCTTGAACTCACAACTAAACAGTTCACAAACAGCAACGCTGCTCAGAAATAATTAGTGCTAACTCAGTGTGATGATGCTCTATTGAGTCAGAAAAACAAATTGGTGAAAACTGTAAAATGGGCTTAAAAGAAAACATTTAAAGGCAAATGACTACTCTTTCAATACGAAACAAGAATTGCTAATATGCTGTGCACAGGAAGAAACTGATGAATGGCATATGCTTTATTGGCTCTATATGATGAATCCTCCAAATAAAAAACTTACCTACTGGCTCTCTATTAATTTAATCAACAAATATTTACTGAGTATCTACCCAAGGGAACTTGCACATAAGTAACTCCATATGCTTTCTGATTGATGGCTGATTGTTATTAGTATGCATCTGCTGACAAGAAGCATGTGTTTTCACCTTTGAAAAAAGGCAGTATTATTTCACCTGGAACTCCGTAACACAGGATTTCATTTCATTGAACACTTCAGAACAACCCAGAATCATGCCTACACCTACTAAGTCTGCTCCCAGCAAGGACCTGGAGCATCTTTGTCTCTAACTGATCCCCTAATGTTATTTCCCTTCATTAAAATATAGATGAAAACCCATGTCCCACTTTGCTAATGACAGAAAAATAATACAATGATAAAGTAAGTAATCTAACATGCTTTATAAAATTGCTGAGAAATGCTAACCAAGTGCAACTTCACAGAAATAAGGATTTTTTAAAAAGACTGCAGTGTTTGTAGGTGGTGTTTCCAGTCCTTTCATTTAATACAGAAAGAGCCTGACACAGAAGGCGGAGTCATCGGGCCACACTCACTCGCCTGGAGGCAAGTCGAGCTTGGTCTCCTGGTCCCCTGTCCAGTGCTTTTTGTACCAAACTACATAGTTTTGATCCTTCATCTTGCTCTTGTTATTATTGATGTTATGGAATATAAGGATGTCTTTAGATATAAAAAAAGACTGACTTAGCTAGGCAGCTGTAATCATCTGGATAAGAACAGCTGGTCGATATGGCATAACACTTTGTACAGGATAACCCTAGTCTCCTGAGAAGTTTTTAAGGGATAAAAAGGTTTACCAATGTGCCTTGCAAATTTTAGGCAATTAAATGCCCAGGGAATACCATCCCAAGCTATCAGGTGAGGGATGACCATTGAGACAAATAGAATTAAATTTACAAGACTGTTGACACCGAACCCATCATGTAACCATCCCAAGTACTGGTTTCATCCAGTATAACATTAAGGAAACTGGGAAAGATCATCACTCAAGTTTCAATGATTGATATTTTATTAATCCATGTCCCATAAAATGTAACATATTTCAAATGAAGTTTAAATTCTATCCAGTCATAACATTTGCCATGTGAAATATTATAATGCAAGCATTAAACTCAAACTTGAAGGGCAAAATAGGTAGTAAATATTAAGTTTACTCTTGTATAGTTTTTAGAACTGAAAGCACCTACTACAAACACCCCACCTCTTGACTTGTCTCCACGTTCTCTTCAGATTACTCTCATTGTACTTTTTAGGTCGTTACAACAAGTATGTGTGTGTCCCGCTGCCCTTACTTTATTCCATGTATATCCCTCATGATTCAGCCCCATCTAAATAGAAAATACTGTCTTAAAAAAATGCAAAAAAAGCAAAGTTCTCACATACCCCATGACGGTCCTCAAAGTATGCCAGGCTGGTTTTGGTTAAAACAAAGAAGCGGACTTTAAAGTTCGAGGGAGAAGTTCTTCTCTTTTGTTGGGATTTCTTGATGAGCTGTTCTTCTAGGAGGATAAAGTTGTTCATGATCCAGCTCTTGAAAAGTGCTGTGCCTTGAGCATCAGCTCTCAGCACAAGCTGAGGAAACAGCTTCAGAGCAGGAATGTGATGGGGAGGCAGTTGATCCTGAGAGAGTTGTTCAAAGACACCTTGCCTCCAACGTTATCTTTCTATCAGTGTTCAGTCAACATCGCTGAGCTGCTTCTCTGATGTCAAAGGCCATAACCACATCCTTTCGAAATTCACAACACTAAGAGGCATATGTAAAAAAAAAAAATACATATATTCTTGGCTGTATGGTTTGCAAATGATATTTGAAAAACCTTAGACTTGAAATGATATGAAGGACTGGAGTTTAATCTTTATAGTTCCTGGTGCAGCCCTTCTAACAATTAAGGCATGTAGCAGCAGGGGTAGGAACAGGGGTTCTGCAGCCAATGGGCATAGTTTGTGTATCAGTTTCCTGCTGCTGCTGTAACAAATTATTACAAACTCAGTGGCTTGCAAATTTATTTTACCATTCTGTAGTTCAGAAGTCCAAAATGAGTCTCGCTGGTCTAAAATCAAGATGTCAGCAGAGTTGGAATCCTTTCTAAAGGTTCTCTAGGGTAGAATCTGTTTCCTTGCCCTTTCCAGCTTTTAGGATCACCGGCATTCCTTGGCTTATGGCCCTCTTTCTCCATCTTCAAAGCCAACAACAAAGAGCAGGTCAAGTCCTCTCATCTCATACAACTGAAAGCTCTTCTTCTGCCTCCCTCTCCTATACACAAGGACCCTTGAGATTACCTTGGGACTGCCTGGATAAGCTAAAATCGCCCCTTTATGTTAAGATCAGTTATTAGTGAGCTTAATTGCATTTTATATCTTAATTCCTCTTTGCCATGTAACCTAACATATGCACAGGTTCCTGGGATCGGGACATGGGCACCTGTAGGGGAGCCATTGTTCTACCTACCACAGCACAGATTCTGGCTCCTAACTGGCTGGGAGACTGCAGGCAAATTACTCAAGAGCTACAAGCCCCATTTTTCCCATCTCTAAGAAAGAATAACTGAGCTCCTACTCAAGGCCCTGCAGGGCTGTTCCCAGCCTCATCTCACACCTTGCTCATGCGGTCTTACTTCAGCCCGCATGCACGCTCCTTATGCTGCTTCAAACATCTGTTCATTTTACCTAAAAACATCTTTCCTCCCTATTTTGCCTGATTAACTCTAAATCATACTGCAAGTCTCAGTCTACATGTCACTTCCTCAGGGAAGTCTTCCTGGCTTTCCTAAGTCAAATCCACCAATTATACCCAGATGGCACCTTGTATGTTTCTCTTCACACCACTTAAGATAGTTGTAATTGTACATTTTGAAGGGTGAATTTTGGATTAATGTCTGGCTCCCCAACTAGTCTAGAATGTCCATGATGGTCAGGATTATGTGTGATTTGGCTCACCATTATATACTCAACAACTGTCCCAGTGCCTAGCACGTAAAAAGGATGTTAAGAAAAATTGTGTTGAGTGAATCACCAAAGAGGGTGGGACAGTTGAAAGAGACAAGGAGCATAAAACACTTAAGAAAAATATATTGAAGTTTTTTAAAAAATTTAAATAAAAGCCCATAGGAATCGCTCTATGTCACAGGTAGATACTTTCTTTTCTACCCCAAAACTTAGTGGAAAAGCAGAAAATCAGTAAATCATCCAGAATGGCACAATAAACAAAGCGTGTATGGGCTCTGAACACAGACAAAGGTATGTTGAAATCCCATTTCTCTCACTTACTAAGCTGTTTATATCCAAGGGAGCTAACTATCCTCTCTGATCCATAGCCTCCTTATGAGGGCCCTTTTGAGAACTGAATCCCATAAACTCTGTGAAAGGTGGATGCTAAATATCTTGCCTTAGAATTAGTACTTGTTTGAAGTATAGCATGTAAGTCCTAATTCTAGCTTGAATAACCAAGAAATCTGTTTGTAAGCAGAGATGACATATACTGGACAGAGATGAATAATAAAGCAAAACAATCAATATTGCTATACAGGAGTGCAGTTATCTAAAATTTATTTTAAAACATAAATGATCAGTGAGCAGATTATAGCATAATTTTGTTTCATATACTGGAAGCCCGAGCATAATCAAGGTGGTGGGGAAGGGGGCACTTTAAATGATCCTTCCTCCCCCATTCTGGGGTTTTAAGGCATATTCCTAAAAGAAAGGGGTAGTTTTCTGTTGTTGTTGCAGAGTTGTTTTTCTTCTGAATATGGGCCTGAGACAGTACCCGCTCTCCCCTTCTTCCCAGGTAACCGACTTCCTAAAAGTTACCTGGATATCTGGTCAGCCAGAATAAAGGTTACATTTTTCAGCCATGTAACTGTTTTCTAACTAATGGAACATAGCAGAAGTGATGAGCACGACTTCCAAGAAGTATCCTTAAGGGCAATCATCATATCATTTTTATTCTCTTTTTCCTTCTTCCTGCTGGCTAGAGTATGGATATGTTTGTTGGAGCTGGAGCAGCTATATTATATCATGAGGTGAAAATTATAAGTTGAGAGGAATGGCATGTAGGATAGAAGGCTTTTGGGATCCTGATGACCTTGGATCTTCCATCCCAGCCTGGGAGCACTTTTTTTTTTTTTAACATAAAGAAAAATAAAATTCTATTTTCTAAGCCCTCGTTATTTTGAAGTTCTGTCATAAGCAACAAACCTAATTCCAACTAATGCAATGCTATATTCCAAACTAGACTGTAAACTCCTTTGAGAAGGGTAGATTTGTACCTGGTTTGTTCAGGTTGAAAGATTTACAGACTTCACCAAGTATCTGAGGCGGGAAAGCAAAATATCATCAGTAGGTATTATGATAGGAACTTTCATTTGCCAAGTCTCCATGGAGTGCAGTCATAAGTAACTTTATTCTCTCTCTCATAGCCCCTTCAAATCCACTCGCTGGGATTTGTCTTTGTCCTCACCTAAATGTAACCCAATATTTTCCCTATTACTTTCAAGAAAACATACATAAAGAAAAATAATCCTGCTTTGGTTTAAAAAGTTCAGTTCATAGGAACCAAATTCAAGAAGCTCTTACTAATCAAAGGTGAAAGAATCTGGGCATCAAAAAATCAGTAATGGCAATGACCTGAATAACAGACAAAATGTTAACATCATGAATTCATAAGATATTTGAAGAAAAATCCCAACCCATCGATGCTGGAGAACCAATTTATTATTCTGAAAACTGGGGAACAAAGGAAAAAAATAAACTCTAGTTCTGTTTTTCCTGAGGAACTCTATCTCAGTTTAGTAATCAAGTATTTAATAAGAGAAAGTCCTTTAGTGAAGAATTCCAGCAGATAAATAAAGGAGTGATAGACTATTACCACTTTGCAATCCTGATGATATAATAGATCTGGGCAACTGTCATCAATTAACTACTAAAATCATTATGTAAAAAGCCACTAGGGAAATGTGTAATTTATATACTAGACTGATAACAGTGTAACACACTGATCAATCTTAACATCACACAAAGAGAGAAAACTAGACATTCTATTTCCTGATGTGATGCAGTAGGAAGCACAGGAAACACCTACGCAAGGGTCTTGCCAAAAAAAAAAAAAAAAATCAAACATGAATCTCTTTAAACCTCTAGATCTATATCCAAATTTGCAGGAAACATAGGAGGTGGAGGAACATGACAAATGCATGGAGATACAAGTGGATAAGTCCCAAATACACAAATGACCCGTGTCTGCAATAATTAAGTCAGAGGGAGAACCTATGGATTGAGACTTTTTGAGAGACATGTCAAGCATAGGATGATTTTGTTCTGATGTAGTCAAGCAAATTAATTGTGTAAAGACATTATGAGACAATTAGAAAATCAGAACACTGCATATTTCATGATTAATCATCATTGCTTATTAATCAAAATTTAATTATTATTTTTAAAGGTGTAGTAATGGCACCATTGTTATGATACCTTTATCTTTATTTTCCACAGAAACATACTGAAATAACTATTGATAAAATAATAGAATGTATGAGATTTGCTTTGTTAGAATCCAGCGGAGAGGGACAAATAGGTAGGGAAGGGGATGAAAACTGGCCATGAGTTGAAAATTGAAGCTGGGGACTTCCGGTCAAGATGGCAGTGTGGCCAGACATGGCTCACCTCTTGCCACAACCACATCAAAATTACAACTAAAATATAGAACACCCATCACTCGGAACCATCAGACATCAAGTTGAATGGAAGTCTTAACAATTACAGAATTAAAGAAACCACATCCATCCAGACTGGTAGGAAGGGCACAGATATGGATTGGGCTGGTCCCACACTCACATGTGGTGGATAAAAATTTGGAAAAAGTATTTTGGCAGTGAGGAGTCCTGGTCCCTCACCAGGGTTCCAGTGCCAGGAAGATAAGTCCCCAGAACTCCTGTCCGTAAAAAGCAGCAGGGACTGAGTTGGTGGAAGAAACTAATAGAGCCCCAAGTAGTTCCTCTTAAAGAAGGGGATGGGTCAAGTCAAGGAACATATATAAAGAACCCATGGACAAAGCCAAAGGCGGGTAGGATTGAGGGTGGGAGGTGGGGGTGGGGGGAGCAGGAGAAAGTGGTGGCGGAAAAATGGAGACACTGTACTTGAACAACAATAAAAAAAGGAAAAAATACAGTACACAGATCATGTATTATAAAATTGTACACTTGAAACCTATATATTCTTATTAACCAATGTCACTCCAATAAATTCAATTAAAAAATAAAGAAAAAAAACCCACACATGGACTCACGGACTCAGACTCATTGCCTTTGAGCTCTAGCATTGGGGTAGCAGATTGAAAGGCACCAGTGGCATACTGGGAGAAACTGAAGTGCCTGGCATCAAGGTGAGCAGAGGCCATTGTCCCTTTTCTAAGCCCCTCCCCCCTACCCCCACAGAGTTGGCAAGCTGGCGCCATATCTGAGACTCTATTAACCTGGCTAATGCTGTTTGACTTGCCTTGGAGATCCCCGGAGACTCTGCCTATCCAA